GGTAAAAGGCGCGAGTAACTAGGCAACCAGGCTATGACAGAAAGTCCCACCTCCTGGGCATAGCAGGAGACTTATGGGAAATAGACAGGGTAGGAAGAATTAGGAGCTTAGCTCAGCAGAGGTAGGGGAAGAGGAACCCGGAAACCCACTTGCAATAGGATTGGAGGCCTGGAGTTATTGTGCCTCCCACAGTGAAGTCATTGGGCATATAGGCCTTAGCTGCTACTGTAGTGAGGTCATATCTGACAAAGTCATTCTCCTCCTCCTTTCCCTAAGGCTGGTGTTCAAGCCAGTCTCAATCCCAGGACTTAAACTCTAGGTCCTAAGTAGAGGAAGATGCACGGGGAAAACACCAAGCAATGGGAAGAGAGTCTCCTTGGGCCAGTCTTCCTTAGAGTCCCATCCCTTTCTCTCCACAAGAGCTGCGTCACCGAGGATGCAAAGTGCATCACATTAGCAGAGCTGCTCTGAGAGGAGAAGGAACATGAATGCAAACAGGAAGTTAGTGTTACTATGATTCTTAAGATAAGAAATTCAGCTTAGACAATTTTAAATTTTTCTTGTATAAACAGAACCAGATGAGGTTGTGGTTATTCCTCAGCTCTGAGGTTCTGACTGTCCAGCTCTGCAGCATTTAACAGTGAGTAGCAGAGAGATAGCCCCTGCTTGGACACAGAGCAGTCCTGGCTGCTTGTCACAAAGTCAGCAAACAGGACAAGGGTCTCTTCAGTGTGTAGATATATGTAGGTCAGGAGCCCTGTACAATGGAGAACCATTCCCAGTTTGCATTGGGCATTCTTTCTGCTCTGGGCAGTCCTAAGAACTGGCACAGAAGCCCCAGTATGCTACACCTGCTGCTGACATGGGATCCTAAGACAAGTTTATCTAAACTATCAAAGGTAGAGGCCAAGGAGATGGCTCAATAGAATAAGCGCTTGCCTGGCAATTGCAAGGGCCTGAGTTCAATTCCCGGTTCTGCCAACAAACAAACAAACAAACAAAAACCATAGACTATCCAAAGGTAAACCTGTAAAGCAGGGATGGCACACACCTTGTTGAGTGGCTTTGAGAGCCCAGGGCAAGAAGACTACAGGAGCAGGTTTCTGGTGAGGATTCCAACCCAGTAATAATCAAGAACAGACTAACTTCTATTTTGTTTTGTTTTGGTCTATAGCTCCAAGATGGCTTTTCATATACATGCTGTGAATAATCAGGGAAGGTAAGTGTGGTTGTAGGGCCTCCTCTTATGGGGCAAGGCTGGGAGGGTAAAGAGAGGAGAGCACTTGTTAGCTGCTATGACTGTTGGTCTTCTCACACTTCCACCTCTGGCTGAGGTGCCACTCTGGACATGGGCTTGAGCTGGCAGTGTTCAGTTGAACCCTGTACCCTGAGTACCTCCTGCCTAAGGCTGAGAGCAGGGACAGGGACAGATGTAATTCACTCCAGGGTCCCACCTGCTGATTCTACATGTTGCCAACATAGTGTGGGTTTTATTTATTTATTTTTGGTACCAAGAATTGAACTCAATGGGCTGGTGAGATGGCTTAGTGGTCTAAAGCACCTACTTAGAACAAGCTAAGCTAAGCTAAGCAAAGCACAGGGACCGCGGTTCGATCCCCCAGCACCACATGCCAGCCAGCCCCGCCCCCTGGTGGGCTGAGCTGGCCACACACACTAAATAAATAAATAAATAAATAAATAAATAAATAAATAAATAAATATCTTAAAAAAAAGAAAAAGAATTGAACTCAGGACCTCATGCTTGCCAGGCAGGCGCTGTGCTGCTGAGCTCTATCTCTGGCCCAACAGTATGTTTTTAAGTCCCTGAAGGAAATTCAAGTTATGAGTTGTCATTACCAATTTTAAAAAGAGAACACTGCAAATTTCCATATAGTTAAAAATTCTTTAATTTGTCTCCCATCTCTTCTAGAATTGTGCCTCTGGACAGTGAGGATAGCTTATCCTTTGTAAAAACGGTAAGCAGTCTTTATGAGCCAGATGGCTGAGAAACAGGCTGTAGAGGGCCATCTATGGGGGAGACGGTGGGTTCACATCCCTAACATGTCCTCAGAGGACCTTAGGCCTAGCTAAGCTTTGAAGCCACAGTGTCCCTGACATCCCATCCCCTCAGAGGTTGGGGGAATGTCACTCTTTGTGAGCAAGCCAGAGAGCTGACCCCTGTGCACAAAGACCACAACCACAATACGAGGAACAGCAGAATTGCCAGCCTCATTGCCACCACAGTGTAGCTTATGGCTGCCCAGCACCAGGTGGACCTTCAGAGTTCCTACTGTTGATGAGGGGTCTTTCTACAAAGCATGGATGCACAAACTTCTGCCTTCCATTTCCCGCAAATCTTCTTATACCTACATCTGGTGGTCAGAGAATGTTATATAGAAACACAATTTTCCATATACAAGAGAGCATGAGTGCCACCTTGCACTGCAGTCAGCAAATCAAAAGCCATGTGGTTTTGCAAATCCATCTTTCTCATTTGAGATATCTCATCCATGAGCAGCATCAAAGCCTGCCATGTAATATTCAGGGTCTAGGCCATATGCTGAACAAGTGGCTAGGTCTGTTGTCCCTGCCCCTGGCAGCATCAGATTGGCCAATAGACAAAACCACAAGGCCAACCATTTAGTACAGTGCCACCTGTGGTACACATCATCCCAATTGTGAGGTATGTCTATAAAGGTGGGTCTGATAGTGTCCTTGACAGGAAAATCCCCAGGTGCAGCATCCTGTCCAGTGTGTGAGTAGGTGTGGACGCCCCATATTCCTTGTTGCCACAGATCTCTAAGGTTTCCACAGTGGGCTGATTGGTGAGCACTGTAGGATGAGCTCCTGGCCATCCTACCACTTGTGTTTGTCAGTAATCAGCAGTGTATGACAACAGAGGTCTGGGGTATCCACCCCACAGTTCAGCTCCCCACCAGTGCATTTGCCTGCTGAATACAGTGCGACTACATTCAGCAGTGTTACTGGAGTTCCTGTCATCCACCCTGACCTTTGTACATAACAGATCCCAGTCTCTGTTGGGTGATTTGTGTTCTCTTGGATTAGCGCCTTGACAGCCTGGCACTGTTGATCCCAGGCAGAGCCAGTCCTGTTTTGTTGTCATTGGTCTAACTGAGTAGGGACAGCAGTGCAACTCTCCATGGGAGGCCCTCACCCTCCTTGCTTAGGAATTCAGTATACACCTAACAGTGTGATTGTTGGTATATACAGAAAAACAGGTATGCCCAGGACACAAAACTGTTAGTATGACTCATTCTGGTCAGAAAATCCCACCCTTCTGGGAAGATGCAGACTACCTGTTCATTCTGTGATAGGATTGTGGCTGGAATCATCTTACCCTTGGCTTAGAGTACCACACCTGGGTTCCTGTTGCTGTAGGAGGTAAAGGAGTTGGGACTAGGCTAACCACCCCAAAGGGATAGGCATAGCCACAGCATCACTCTGAGAATGGTGGCTCCAGCATTAGGCGGATCGCACACTGAGGCCTTTAAAGGCCATGTTGAACTCCACTATAGCGTGTTTAAGTCCTTCTTCTCAGAGCTGTACGAGTTCCCCGTCAAAGAGTCTTTTGTGCCAATCCCAAAACTATTGATAACAGCTTCCTGGCCATTTTGGTTCCAACAGGGGGAGGATTAAGGCCTCTTGTATTACCTTAAGCACAGCTGTGCTTTCAGGAGTGGTCCAATAGACTGTCACCCATATATCAGAGCTGATCATTGAACAGTTGGACTGCCTGAGCCAAGACCCGCACCCACCCACCCCCACCCCATGAACTTTGGTGTCAAGTAGGCCAGTTTGGTTTGGTTGTTTGTTTTTTTTTTTTAATTTTTTTTAAATTTTATTTATTTGTATATAGTGTGTGTGTGTGTGTGTGTGTGTGTGTGTGGCCAGCTCAGCCCACCAGGGGGCGGGCTGGCTGGCATGTGGTGCTGGGGTATTGAACCGCAGTCCCTATGCTTTGCTAAGCTTGTTGTAAGTAGGTGCTTTAGACCACTGAGCCATCTCACCAGCCCCGCCAGTTTGGTTTTGAGGAGCCCCTTGCATCACTCAATTATACTATTGACCTGTAGCCAGTACAGCACATGCGAATGCCATCTGATGTCATTGTCTCTGGCACATTGTTGTACCTGGCTCTTGTGAAATGGGTTCCCTGGTCAGACCTTATTCCTAGTGGCATCCCATATACAACTGTCAACCATTATAAGGCCTTAATGGTATAAGCCTGGTCAGCAGATGGACCAGGATAGGTGAAGCCTGCATCTGTGTCTGTATGCAAGCCATCAGAGCATATCTCTGTCCCTGTAAGAGAGGCTGAGGCCTGATATAATCCACTTGCCCCTGCTGTAGGAGCTGGGGTGCTCAAGGCATAGTGCCAGCTATGTGGGCACCCTCCAGGGGGCCAAATGGGTGCACTGGGGACATACCTGTACCACAGCCATTGACCCATCAGGAGTTAAATCCCGGTTCCACTGTTGTGACTCATAGTATGCTATGGGATCCTACGTGTCCCAGTTTTTTGTGGAGCCAAGGCACCACAGCAGAAGGTAGCCTTCCAAGAGTGGCTACCCTCATCAAGGCATCTGCTAAGCCATTCCCAGCAAAAGGAGAGGCTTATGTCCTGAGATATGATACACTACATAGTTGTTTGGCCATGTTGCCCTAAGTCTTAAGTCAGCACCCCATAAGGGTCAGTGCCTTACCTGCCAATCTGGGCAACCCAAGTTAGTAACCAGAGCATCAGCCCTCAAAGTACAACCTAGGTGTCCATGCATACATGTAGGAGACCTATTTTGTGTGTTACAAGGAGCCATACTGCCCAAAACTGCCTATTTTCTTGACCTCCCTGTTCCAATCCAGAAGATTTCCTTACTAGGTTGGACAGTAATTACTGTCCATTGTAGGGCCGTGTGATAGCTATACCAGTCAGTAGAGCAAGCATCAGCTAAAGATCCTTCTTTTCCCTCTGTATAGGGGCTACGTGTCATGACCTACAATTCATGGTGCTGTATTGCTTCCTGTGCTGTGTATGCCATGGGTCCCAAAACTGTTCCAATTCAGCTGACAATGGGCCAGCCAAAAATGAGACCCCTGCTGCAAGTTTGTTCCCCAGTGCTTGAGGGTGGGGCCACTCCACTCCTGGAGTGGGATGCCCATGTATGGACCCAGATCTCTGTAGGGTATTTAGTCTGCACTTCCCCTGTCTCTTGTTCTGTGATCCCCTCACAGGCATGTAAAGCAGCACTCTACTGTGAATGTTTTAATCAGGGAATAAATCAGCTCCTTCTCATACCTGTGACCAAAATCCAACAGGGTGCTTCCACTTACCTTGTTTGTGTTACAGGCCCCAGCCAAATCCATCATCACCTACACTCACAATTAATGTAAATGACAGGGTAGGTCAACTACCCAGAGAGCTTCTACCTGTGTGACTACCCTCTTTTAAGTCCTGAAAAGCAGCTTCTGCTGCATCTTTCCAGTCCTGTGTCACGTTTTCTGGTCATCTGGTGTAAGAGATGTAGCAAGGTAGCTAGGTGAGATATAAAAGTCCACCAGAAACTTAGCAAGTTTATATATACCTGTAATTGGCATACTGTTGTGACTCTGGGGTACTCCTAGATCTTATCTAGTATGGCATTGGGAATTACTTTTGTCCTACCCAACCAGATAACACTCAAGAATTTCAAAGACAAGCCAAGTCCCTGGACCTTATCTTTGTTTCTGGCCCACCTGTCCAGCAAAGTGTCCTTCAGACTATGCATGGAAGCGTCCAAACCCGTAAGGCAATCAGGCTAACATAATATTATCAATATAATGTCGCAGAGTGTGGCTTGATCCAGGAGGCCAAGTCCTGCGACAACAGGCCATGACACGAAGTCAGGCTATGCAAAAAGCTTTGTGACAACACCTGGAAAGTCCATTTCCTGCCCTCTTAGGTGAAGGCAGATTGGTCCTGGCTGTCCAGCATGATAGCAATGGAAAATGCATTGGCCAAATGGTACTGGGGGACAGGGTATAACTCAGTGGCACAGTGCCTGCCTGGCAAGCATGAGGCCATGAGTTTAATTCCTGGTACCAAACCCCAGATCAATTCTATGGGGCCTGATGGTGCACACCTGTAATCCCAGCACTTGAGAGGCTGAGGCAGGAGGATTGCTGTTTGAAGCCCACCTGGGCTACAAAATGAGTTCAAGGCCAACCTGGACTGCTTTGTGAAACCCTGTCTCAAAAAAAGACAAAAAAAAATGTTTCGACTGGGGAGACAGCTCAGCAGCATAAGCGCCTGCCCAGCAAGTACAAGGTCCTGAGTTCAATCCCTGGTACCCCCCCAAAAAAAAAGAAAATACTGGGCTGGTGCTATAGCTCAGTGGTACAGTACCTGCCTGGCAAGCGCATAAGGCCTTGAGTTCAATTCCCGGTACCAATGGAAAAAAAAAAGATTTTAACTCAACATAATGGTGTCAACCCAATATCACAGTGAGATGATCCATCAAGTCTGCAATATTAGGCACCGCTGCATGCAATGGAGAAATCACTTTATTCAGTTCTTGGTAAAGCGTCATTATTCCCATATGAGAGAATTGAGAGTTATGTGCAGGGCATATCACCCATACTGCTTTTAGTTTCAAGATAGTTTATCCTATTTCCTCATAACCACCAGGCAATCAATATTGTTTCATGCACACAACCTGTATGGCCTGCAGTAGAGTCACAATATTTGGTGCATGCTCTCAGATTAGTATTTTTCTGCTAATTCACCCTTCATACTGTCAAGCCAAGCACCTATCACTAGATCAACCCCTCAGGGGCTGGCGAGATCGCTCAGTGGACTAAAGCGATGCTTAGGCAAGCTTAGGCAAAGCACAGGGACCGGTATTTGATCCCTGGCACCATATGCTGTGCCAGCCCCATCCCTAAGGTGGGCTGAGCCAGCCAGAGTCTGGGTATGGTGGTGTAT